ATCATCATCATCATCATCAACATCATCATCATCATCATCATCATCATCATCATCATCATCATCACACATCATCACAACCGTGATCACCGTCATGTGTCTCATATTTAAATGCATGTTCACAGCCATGTTCATCCTAATGTAAATCAACTAAGTCTGTTTTGCACTGTCTTTTTTGGGGTGCCACATTGTTTCAATGACCATCCCCATGGTCAAGTTCACCATTGCCTTTGATGTGATTAAGAAATTTGTGACCGGCCCCACACTAAACATCATCGGTACCATCAGCATGCTCCAGTGTCAGCTTCCTTATCCATAACCATCAACAACATGCTCACTCAGCATCACTTTTAATACTTTGATCATCAACCATTGATCAAAATTGTTTGGTGTATTGGTTGGTGAATCTGTCAAACAAATTAGACAACATATCCGTGAGATTGACCTGGTTTGACCTGAACTACCTTTTGTTCTGTTTCTCTCAAAAAGTTTTAGGTTTTGAGAGTGCCAGTCAGACACATCTTGATTTGTGAATGGTAGATGTGGGCATCCACCATGTGAATATCATCATTATGTGGCACACTGGCCATGGCCAAAAGTTTCAATAACCTTCATGAAGACCGCAATAGGTTGTAGGCATGTTAGTATGAGCAAACATTGTGACACATTTTGATTCTGGCCTCAATAGACCCCTGTCCATGCTAACCAGCACCCAAGTTGAATAGTAAGCATCACCTTCGAGGTCTGCAATGCTGAAGTGAAGGAAACTGTCCGGATGTCCCAGACTGGACGGACACCCAGGTTGCTGCATGGATGCGGAAATACTTTCAAATTCACATCGAATCTGTTGAGTTTGCATTGTTGAGTTTGCACATTATTTGCATTTACTGTTTTTGGACATCTGTCATATATATCAATAGCAGCCTCATCATCATATGTTCATCAGCAGTGACACTTAAACTTTCACTCAAGTGAAGACTGACTTGCACTCCGTCGCAAAATGGAAGCATGCAATACAAACATATGAATGACAGTTTTTCCATTGGGAAAAAAGCCACAGGATCAAAAGAATAAGACAAGGATTTCAGATTTATACTGTAATGGTTCCTGATTTAGCTTGCCCAGTCTGAGGATGAACATGGAGCTGCAACATGGAAAAGTTCAAGCACTGAGTCCAGACCCTTGTATTGTGCAGTGTGTGGATTGCTTGACAAGCTGTGGTTTTTGCAACTTTCATTATCTGATTTGTTGAATTTCAATCAACCAATGTGGTTTCAAACAACCAAGATGTCCAGGAAGTATCTGGTCAAGTTGTGCAAAACGTATTTCTAAACATGCACCTACCCAAGCTACTTTGGCAAACCAATGTCAGTGTCTGGCCACCGGCACTGATCATTTCTTTGCCTGTGTCAGGATACCGGCACTGGGAACTAAGGTTGCAGAAGCCAGTAATTTAATACAATATAAGTTTTTGTATGTGTGCATGCCGGCAATGCTCAATATTCACGTCGCTTCGCGACGGCAACCGCCCGCACCGCATCGTTGGGCAGCCGCTCGTAACTGCCAATGATGTCGGCCATTGAGACCAAAAACATCCGAAAGTACTGATTGTCGGAAAAAAAAACGCGAAGAATTTGATAGCCATGTATAGCGGACCAACGCAGTTCAAAAAATAACGAAAAACATGAAAAAACGGCGAAATTGCTGTTATTTACAGTGTTTTTGCGCGGTGAGAAGCAGAAACCACTGCAAATACCATGGTTTTTGAGGGTCAGGTGGCCAAAAACACTGTAATTTACAGTGTTTTTTTAACCAACGTCAAAAAACACTGGTATTTACGATGTTTTCATTCACACCGTAACATAAAACAGCGTAATTTACGAGGTTTTTGGAAGTTTTGAAGCTAGCCGTCAAGCATGCAGAAAACAGAAAAACACTGTAAAAACCAGTGTTTCTGCTATCACAAAACGACGAAAATCAGTCCGAAAACGGGTCCAAAAACTCAAAAATCCGCCTCCGGGCCAGGCCACCTGCGGAACCGCAAAAAAAGATGTTGCAAACCAAAAAATTGAGGTCAAAAAGTTGAAAAACACGTTTTTTTTTTCACTTTTCGCTTGCCGATTTTGGACGGGCGCGTTCACGAACAGGTGTCTTCCGTACTGTTTTTTACAGTGTTTTTTGAAGGCGAGCGTCACGACCTATCAAAAACAGGAGGTTTTGGCCGAAAAATGGGGCCCCCCCCCCCCAGGTAAACCTGTAACCTTTTACGAGTGCCATCCGGAAGATCACGCCCCAGCACCTTCGGTGCGGGCGGATTTCATCATTGGATTCAACTTGTTTCAAACTTGACCATTCACAGCGATGTGGGGCGTACCACATATTTACATATTTCTGGACAGAAAACTTGGACGACATGTTAAATAGTGACTGGGATATCATCATCACACCGTTTCACACTTGCTGGCAGGAGTGACAATAGAAAAATCTCAACCCCCATGGGAAATGATGCCGTTGGTTGCTGTAGAAGTTGTGATTATTGCAACAAACAATATCATCTGAATGAATACAAGTCGCTCTATTAATATGTTTCTACCTCGTACTAATCTGTTAGAACTGGATTTTCCAAACATCAAGTCCACACACTTCATGTCATGCTTCAGGGCCAACAGTAGATCCAGGTCAAAGGGGGCAACCGTAGGTATGACATGTCTGGACCAACCGTAGATCTGAACCAGGAGGGGCAACCGTAGGTATGACATTTCTGGACCAACCGTAGATCTGAACCAGGAGGGGCAACCGTATCTCCATCAATGGTAGATCTAAACATCTAAAGGAATGAAGTAAGGTTTCTTGCCAACATTATCGAGGAAACATGGCCCACAGAGAGGGCAACTCGGAGTGGCCGTAGTCACGGGATTTTGTTAGCAACCGTAGCCGTGAGATTGTGGTACCAACCCTTGTCTCTCACTGAACATGGCCCACAGAGAGGGCAACTCGGAGTTGCCGTAGCCACGGGATTTTGTTCGCAACCGTAGCCGTGAGATTGTGGTACCAACCCTTGTTTCTCACTGAACATGGCCCACAGAGAGGGCAACTCGGAGTTGCCGTAGCCACGGGATTTTGTTAGCAACCGTAGCCATGAGATTGTGGTACCAACCCTTGTGTCTCACTGAACATGGCACACAGAGAGGGCAACTCGGAGTTGCCATATCCATGGAATGCTGTTACCAACCGTAGATTCTGGTACGAACTCTATTTCTCACTGAATGTGGTGGCTTTACCAACCGTTTTTCTACTGCACATAGTCATTGACACATGCAATCTCCAATGATGATGATTATTACCTGACTGTTGAGCAACCGTGTCTGTACAGTGTGTTGATGTCAGGGCCGCTGTGGGGATGGCAACTCGGGGTTGCCGTCTCTGTAGCCTATACCTAACAGATTCTTATGGTACTAACATGGCCTGTCATGATGCAATAAAATGCAATAAACCTAGGCTATGGAGATGGCAACTCGGGGTTGCCATCTCCATAAGGCCCTTGACAAGCAAACCCTGCACAGGGAGGGCTGCAGTTCACTTTTGACTCTTTTGCTATTGATGCTGAACTGATAGTTTCCCCTCCAGAATTAAGCTGGACATCCTTTCAGCTGGGGCTGCTGGGCCAGGCCCCAGGAACGTTTCAAATAATTCTTACGGACCTTTCTCCGTAAAACGTTATCCTCAAGTTTCAAACCGTTGGACTCAAAGTGGGCATGAAGAGCTTCTGGAAAAGTGAAGCAACGGGCTGCACAGAGCTGGTCTCTGGCCTTCTCCCGGAGAGAAGAAAACCGCTCCTCTGGATGCACCTGAATTGTTCCCACCAACATTCCAGAGAGAAGACGCACTTCAGCAATGAGAGGGCTCTGGAGCATGATCTGAACCGTCGGCTTAGTCATTGACAGCGAGACACTCTCAATTTCACTTAACTGCGACGTAGTGAGAAAGAAAACATTACACACAAGTATGGTTGAAACATAGGAGAAGACAATGTCTCTTCACAACATCAATAAAACCAATTTGCGTCCTCTGTTGCTTAAACTGAGTTACTCACAAATACAAACTAGATTCTATTACGATAGGTTTGAGATATGCTGAGAAAACAAGTTGAATTCTCAATGTCGACCCAATAGAATTTAAAATCAAAAAATGGGGGAGCTCCAGAACTGTATGGACATGCTGCTTGGTAAAAACAAAACGTCCTCAACATTGCAACCGGTCGTCTGAACATATGACTGAAATGGTTAGGTGCCTTGGCACAGACTCCTCTCATATCATGATGCGTAGTCATGCGCAACAAGATCAAGAATCAAGGAGCAACATGAATTGAAGATAGAACTACATGACAGGGATCCTGAGGAATGATATCCGTCTAGAGTGTGACTGGAACAGCACTGATGGCTAAACTAATGAACGGATATTGTTTGCTGCTTAAAATCAGAGCTGGTACAGGGAACACTGGCAGCATTGTGTCGCAAATAATAAAAAACGAACAGGCTGGAGTAATATGCTTTCACATCACTCTGACCTCGTATCCCAGTCACTATTTAACATGTCGTCCAAGTTTTCTGTCCAGAAATATGTAAATATGTGGTACGCCCCACATCGCTGTGAATGGTCAAGTTTGAAACAAGTTGAATCCAATGATGAAATATTGAGCATTGCCGGCATGCACACATGCAAAAACTTATATTGTATTTGCGGTGCTGCCGAGACGCAGAAAACAAGCCGGGGCAGCAACTTTTCCAGCTTGTGCATCTTGAGCCACACGTTTGTGGCAGTCGGCTCTTTGAACCACAACCCCTCTGGTTTAGGGTGTGGCCTTCAACAAACCATCCTATGGATGTCACATGTGGTATACTGCTACCCTTCTGCAGTACTTCACATCAGCTTTCAAAATTGAAACGGTGGATGCAGCTGCCTTTACTTACAGTTCCGCACTCCCCCGTTTTTCCGGGAAAAACTTACTGCTGCCTCGGCCACTCAGTAGTGCACGGCGAAAACGTCTTCGGAGCCGACGTCGACGCTATAGCAGCCTTTCCACGGGCAATTGCTGCAGGTGGTTGGCGCTGCACCACCACAGGCCCATCCGAAGGTGCTGGAGAACCGATCTGGCCCTGCACCATAGTTCCAGAATGGACAGAAGGTGGTCCCATAGATCCGTCCAACCCAGGCATTCCTTGGGATGAAGGCATCATAGGTCTCGAGGTCGGCATAGCCCCAAGCAGACACAAATCTCGAGGAGGTCGCAGCTCATCAGGGTAGCATTCACTACTTTCGTCCACCAGCTGCTGACGCCCAACATTGGCCATCACATCCCATTGCAGCGGCTGCTGCGCAGGGAAACCATCATCACGGCGTCCCATATCAAGGTATCCGTAGTTGACAACCATTGGGACTGGCGGCGGCATCATCGCAGACATTGCTGCTCCTCGTTCCACATCGACTGCGGCACCAATCCATGGAGGAGGGGGTGCCTTCCTCACGCCACTTCCAACATCTTGAAGAGGCAGAGGAAGTGCCTTCCCAGTCATCGCTTCCACCTTAACAGCAGCGGATCCTGAGGCAGCTACTTTTGAAGAGGCTGCAGTCGCTGCTTCCATCCTCAGTCGAAACGATGGCTTGGACTCCCTGGTCAGCAATTGGGTGGCCATGTAGCCTGGGTTGGCGGCCTCGTCCTCATTCATCACAAAGATGGTGAAGCCCATCCAACGGGAGGTGCCCCTCTCCGGACGGCACTTCCAATCATCTTTCCACACCATTTTCTCACCAGTTTCCACATCAAAGGCAATGGTGCAACGAGCATCGCCCAAGCAAGTGGTATCCACCGGGTTGGTCTTGTGCAAGGGGTGGAACTTGTTGACCCGCACAGTGGGATGCTCACGGACAAGCAACATCTTGCCCCCCCACTCTGCTCTTCTCCACCGGTCCTTGCTGCCGCTAGGTGCGGTTTGGAACGCTGGGAAATTCATTCTCCATCTCGGTGAAGTCAGCAGCACCGCTAGGAGCAAAGGTTGGTATCCTCAGCGCTTTCAGACATGGCATCGGCAAAAGAGACGCGCCCGGGCAGCCCGTTGGGCAGTGGTTGACAGGGTGACAGCGGTCACTCTCATTTCCAACACCAACTCCAGACGATTCCTCCCCTTCTCCAAAACCCTTGGTGGTTTCCCCAAAACAATAGGTTGGCCCATTCTGACAAAAACTCATCCCTGGCCCAAAAATGGTGGGTTCTGGTCCTTCCCCAAAACACTCTTGAGGGGGAACGCCCACACACACCATGTTATGACCTACGGGACTGGATTTCCTTTCTTTGGCCTTCAGCCCCTTTGCTTGTCTCTCATTTTGATTTTTCTTTTGATTTTCTTGTTGGCCAGTGGCTCTTTTGGTTTCTTCCTTCCAACTTCCAAACTGTTCACAAACAGGTTCTTGGCTCTGTACAGGGCCCTGTTTACTAGCACAGGCCGCACTGGTCAAGGCACGCATTAGTGCTTGGACCTTGCTGCACACATCTCGGCTTACACCAGCCTTTGTCCAAGAATCCGGCTGTGCACCTGCACTCGATTCTGTACACTCACTCGGCTGGATACACACCACCTCGCCGAAATCACCCACTGCAGCGCCACCCGCGGCAAAGTGTGTCAAGCCAGCGATTGCGACCAGTAGCAGCGCATGCCAGAGAGTGCTCAGCTGCGGCGGCCATGGTTGACCACATAGTTCCCCAAACACTGCCGCCAGAGCTCCAGCACGAGCGATCTGCAACGACCTGAGCGCCTTAGTTTCCTTAGTGGACAAGGTGGCAACAGTTGGTACCTCAGTAGGGGCAGGCTCCATGGACATGACTTTCCAAAACCAAATCCATGAGGGACGTGGAGTAACCGCTTTGGTTAAGAAATCCGCACAAAGGTCAGACCCTCTTTGGTGGTGGATACGCCATGTAGGGTTGGGTTCATTAAGCTTCTCCTTCAAGCAGTTTGACCTAAGCCTCAGATGCCTCGTTCTCCAAGACCCATCCGGTTTTGACAGAATGCTCAGAGCACTTGTATTATCACCGGCTATGAGTTTCTCAAAGGTACCATCCCCATAAACGGCAACCAACAGAGCTTCAAGAGATTGTGACATCTGCATGGCTTCACAGTATCCTAGCAGTTCACTTTCTGCTGTTGACATGGTCGCAAACGGCTGCCTACTTGACTCCCATTGAATGGGAGCCCCACTATACATGGCTATGACAGCCTGCACACTTCGACCACCCTGGGGTGCAAAGCTTATGTCAGCATACGTTTCTATCAACCGCTCATGTCGCTGTATGGGAAGTTGACCATCAAAACCACGGTCACATGAACAAGGGGAGTAAACCAAACCCTGATCAATGGTGTTAAACAGAAATTCCAAAACCGCTTCACCAACTTGTAAAACCCACCTAGGGTATTTACTTCCACCACGACCCATTTGTCCTACTGCAAAAGCTAGGTCAGGTCGGGTCCTGACCACCAGCCATAACAGTTCACCTGTCAGACCCTGCGCTCGTTTGATGGTGCGGGCATCCATGTCCTCATTTTCAGTTGGTGGTTCCATTTTCGGCATGGGGGCCCAGCGGCCATGCTTCACCTCATACCTTTCCAACAACTCCTTCGTGTAGGAGGGTTGAGCAATCCGGAGACTGTCACCTCTCCACCGCAACTCAAAACCAGCAAAACGTGTCCATTCATCTTCAGAGACATGTTCTGGTTTTGACGTAGTCCATTCTTGACTAAGTCGTTGGAGGAAACCCTGTCGAACACTTTGGGGACCTACAACCAGTAAATCGTCAACATAAACCACCAAATGGCCTACACATTCATCATTGGTTTGTGGTACCATGGTGTGCTGATCGATCCCTTCCTTCAACTTTTGTTTCATGATCCGCCATAGGTTGACTTCAGGGGTATTTTGGAGGTAAAACCCACAATCATCTTGAATCCACCTAAGTTGCGCCTCACTTTAGTGTGGAGCCTTTATTTGACTAGTTCACAGGTGGGAAGCCACCGTCCTCTTTCCTCCTACGCGTGCGTTGCGTCTCCCGCGTCCTTATGCATTCGGGTTCAGTGGTGTGCCTCTGCAACCTTACCTGAAACAACTCACAACTTGGAAAAGGTGTTTTCCGTTTTTAAACAGTTTTGGTTTTCTGTGTGCAGTCTTCCTTAACTGTTTTCGGTTGTGCTCTCTTCGCAACTTGTGTGTGCTGAAGTGGTTGTTTTTTTGAAGGTCTCTGAATCCGATTCTTTTTACAACTCAAGGGTGGGTGGGTGGGAAACAAGTCTCACTGCCCAGAGGTTTGAAAAGGGGTAGTGCGACTTTAGGCCATGCCATGGACCTTTTGATTCATGCCAGTGCTTACAGTTTGGGTGTAAAACGTTCTGCCATCAAACTGCCTTGGGAGTTGGATCACAACAATGCAATTTTTGGCAAACGTCCCAAGTTGATTTCTCCTCCAGTCTTTGCCCCCTTGACGGAAGCTGAAGAAGGGACACTCTTCTTGCCACGAGAAGAGAAGGAGGGCAGGATACGCTGGTCTAAGCGGACATCGGTCGTGCCTTGGCCGATCGCTCAGGAGAGATCATTGGCACGTGCACTGGAAGCTTGGAGGGTCATTGTCATGGACAATCTTGAGGGAACTCTGGTGGGGCGTCAGATTGCGAAGTCCCTACTAGGGGATACAACAGCACCTTCAGTGGAGAAAACCATCAGCGATGCTCTTGCAGGAAAAGCCATTTCCACTTTGAGGGCTAGGTCGTCGTCAATCATGTCCTTTGGTAGGTGGAAGAAGAGCTTGGATGTCAGCGCAGCCATTTTTCCTGTCACAGAAGCAGAGGCGTACACATATGTGAGGGAGTTGAGAGAGCACAACGCTCCTCAGACAAAGGCGGCTCGTTTCCTGGAAGCACTGAGTTTTTCTCACCACATGTTGGGAGCAGATGTGGACAATGCAATGCAATCCCCAAGAGTTCGAGGGGCTGCTATCACACCCTTGGTATTGCCCCGGAAGAAGACTCCTCTTACATTTCCTCAGGTCGCCATGTTTGAGAGACTGGCCATAGATGACGCTGGACAGGTGGGCATTTTTGCTGGGTACCTTTGCATGGTCCTTCACATGCGTTTGCGCTGGTCGGATGGACAATATAGCCAGCACGAGCCAGTCACTGACATTTTTCAGGGTAGGGGTTTCTTGGAGTGCCAGTTGTACCACCACAAAAACGCCGGCCGTCAGAAGCAGGCAAAGAGGTTGTTGCCGGCTGCCTGTGTGATTCCTGGCTTCAGTGGTGAGGATTGGGCAACTCCATGGCTGGAGCATCGATGCAGCTCGGGGCTGAAGGCCGGTCCAGGCCTACCGACCATGCCTGCACCGCTGGCGGCAGGAGGTTGGGCGTTGACGCCACTTGACTCAAGTCAAGCTACATTGTGGATGAGGGAGCTTCTGAGGAATTTTCATCCCCCTCCAGCCTTGATGGATATCGCTACACACTCCTTGAAGGCAACCATCCTGAGCATGATGGCGAAGGCAGGTTGCAGTGGAGACCTGAGACGACTGGCCGGGTACCACGTGGACCCTGGTGCAAAGATGGCGCTGGAGTACAGCAGAGATGCTCAGGCGCCGGTCCTTCACGCCATTGAGGCGATCTGCTTGGCGGTACAACAGGGACTATTCGACCCGGACACAACGAGGTCGAGAAGGTGGCCGCGGGTGGGTTGCAACACTCTGGAGCAAGCTATGAACATTTTGCCCACAAGGACTGCAGAAGACAGCTGGTATCTGACAGAAAACGTTCCGTGGGAAGAGCCTGGTGAACATGACCAGGCTGTGAACGTCGAATGGGTGGAGATGGGATCAGAGCCATACTCCCCGTCAAATGGAGATGCAGTGGATGATGATGAGGCAGCATCCCTTTCGTCACTGAGCGACCTGGCTGAGAGACCACAATTTGTGGACCCTGGACAGGAGACATCTGATGAGGAAAAGGAGGCCGAGTTTGCGGCCCCAATCGTGGGTGAAGAAATGGCCCACTCTATAGACAGTCAAATTACAGAGACGGTCTACAAACACCGTGTGAGCGGTTGCTGCCACATTGCAAAGGGAGGTGCCACAGACGATGATGATGGGGAAGCTGTGGTGCTTCGGTGTGGTAAGATTGCCAGCCGGAACTACGAAGAAGTTCATTTGGCCGGGAACTTTTTGCCTTATAAGTGTTCAAGATGCTTTGCAGGTTGACTTCAGTGAGTAGTCCTTTTTGTGCAGTCTTGTACATTAACTTCATGTCAACTCGCAGGTTACCAGAATGCAAGGTAATAATCAAACCCACCTTTCGCGTGGCAGTTGAGTTGAGTCTGTTGTCAGAGTGCCATACCAGTTGGCGCGCGACAGCGCAAGGGCCGATAGCCGTGCTCTCAGTTGAAAGGGTCCCTTTCTTTTCCTTGTTTCAATTTTTGGCTGTGATTTTCAGTTTGCCGAAATTGTGAGACTTGCATGTGCCACGTTTTTGCAGTCAATCAACTTGTCAGCACTTGCACGGCAGTTAGTCCTGTTTCACGGCGTGTAGCGGTGTGACATCCTTCAGTGGAAGTCGGGTCCCTAGTCGCGGAGTCTCTTGTTGAGTTGAGATTCAAACTTGGCTTGTCACCCCGTTGTATTTTTGTGGTTGTGATGTTACAGTCATACAATTGTGAGCGAGTGGACCTCAGTGCAATCTCTGGGCAAAGGCCTGGCACTCAGAGTGGGTTCATCGACAACAGGTAATGTTACAGCCGGCCGTGATTTTGGTTTCATTGCCGTGTTTGTTCTGATGTGTTTTTCATTTCACGTAGTTGGTTGAAACAAGATGGTGTGACTGTCGAGTGTACCTGCATTGAGTGGTGAGTAGGGTGCAGCTTGGTTTCACGGAGGGTTACCGAACAACCTCTTGAAGGGTGGTCTGGACAGCTGCAAGACGTAGGAAGGTTGCAGATAGCGTGGCTGGCCAGCCACCACCACCTGGCAGGGCACCCAACAGTCCGTTGAGTCACCAGTTTGAGTTTGTTTTATTCTGCATTTGCATGTGTGTTTACAAACCCTTTTGTGCAGTCAGATGAAGTTTGATGTGCCGGTTTTCATGTTCATTTCTGTAACTGTTTGAGCAATTGGTCTTGAGTGCGACGCTGCGTTGACTCATGCGGTTGACGGTGACGGCAGACGTCCCGTTGTAGATGCAGCCCAGCTCGAGCATAGGAACGGCCAAGGGGCCACAGCGGAAGAGGACTCTGCTGAGACTTCAAAAGAAAGCTAACAGGTGTGCTTGTTAATTTTCCTTTGTTTAAGGTGGGCTGTGTAAGACGCTTCACATCAGTTGCTTGCAGTTGAAACAGTTTCATTTTTGTCGGGATTGCATCAGTTGCCACACATGCACCGAAGACACCATGTGCCATCATTTTGTTTCTCACGGGCAAGCCACAACATGGTTGTGAATGGAGGGCTCGCGGAAGTGCGGGCTCTAGTGCAGTAAGCTGCATCAAGAGGTATGAAACATGCAGTTGTCGGCGGAGAGATTTTTATTCTTGTCACAGGCAGCTGATGACGTTTGAGTAGTTTGAACGTATCAGATCCAGCATAACTCATTGATGGATGTCCAGCTTTCTGCACTGCATGGAGTTTGCGTGAATAGAAGGTGGTTCGTACCGTCTGCGGTCACTCATGTTTCAGTTGTTCATTTTTGTTTTTCAACTCTCAGCCTTTAGTGGCGGCCTGGCCATGTCTCTGGTGGACAGCACCGCTGTCTTTGAGGGCAGAGCTCGAACCATAGGGTTGACAGATGACGTGATTCAAGCGTTGGGCCTGCGGGGGTGGACGACACACGCCACCTTCGCATTTGCTGTGGCGACACAGCCTGGTGCAGATGAACAGGCCTTTGCAGACGGGGTTCTGATACCCGTGTTGGGCCAAGCGGATCATGTGGCGGCTCCTAAGCTGCGGCGCCTATTTTTTGAGGCGCATACTTTGACCTCGGCTGACCTGAGGAGGAAGGTCGATTCAACAGAACAGGAAGCTCCTAGGAAGCTGCCAGCTCCAGAGATATCGCAGCGGCTCACCTTGTTACAAGCCAGGATCAATCCCATCTTGATTGCCAATGTGCTGGAGCCGTCCCATCACTTGATCAACGCAATTGTTCAGTGTGTGGAGGATGGTCGGATCCGCTACATAGAGTGGGCCAAGTGTACCTCCAGAACTCAGGAAGTGAACAACGTGAAGGAAGATGGTGGTATGAAAATTTGGAAGACAGACAGCTCTGGAAACATCAAAGCAGCGCCGCAGGAACCGGCGATTACCGCCAACTTGGCCTCCGAGCTGGATGTTCACAATGCGCTGAGGCGCAGAGGAGTGGCGTATGAAGTGGCTCAGGCCATGAGCTTTGAGGTGCATGAGCGAGTGATTAACTTCCTCTTCTTCGAGCTGAAAAAGGAGCCCTTGGAAGGTTTTGCTGCGGTGTCCTTGCAGCAGTTGGCAGCGGCCGATCGTGAACTGCATGTGCGCCTTGCTGAGCGCACCAGAGCTGGTTTGGTGCCGGGGCCAAATGGTGAATTGCCGCTGGACTTGAGCACCATTGAAATACTGGAGGGGCCTGAGCTACGATGGATGCTGATGCCATTGCCCAAACGAGGTACGGCCAAGACTTCAGGCCCTGAGGTGCCAGTCATCAAGGACAAACCGGAGCCCAGCACCAAAAAGAAACCTGACACGAAGAAGACTCGGGCCAATGCCACCAACCTCAAGAAGTTGAGGCGCACTCCCATGCCGAAGCAACTTGTGGGAGGGGTGCCCTGTGATGATGAGGGCAACCCTTTTTGCTTCGCCTTCAACTTGGGGACCTGCAAGAGTTCTGGTGATTGCCCTAAGGGGGCACACACGTGCTGCAAAAAGGGTTGCGGAAAGAGGCACTCCTTTATTTCAGCACACAAGCAGTCGGCCTGACTAGGCCTTGAAAGTACGGGCGAGGGTCCGTTGGTGGCATTGTTGCGAAAGCGCAGCAAGGCCGCTCAAGATGAAAGCCATCTTCGAGCCGAATCACCTCTCAAGCGAATGCGCTTGGACGCTGGTTCAAAACCTGTCGAAGGACAGGCATCATTTCAGACGGGCGAAGACAAAGGGTCGCCCCATGATTTTCAGGCTGGGTTTCAAGAAGTTGACAACGCCAGCGAACCGGCGGTGAAAGCACAACCAGGCCGGAAACTTTTTCTTTTGGATTTGTTTAGTGGAACGGCAGGTGTCGCAGCTGCTTTTCAAACGCTGGGTGGTGAAGCATTGGGATTGGATCATTTAATCGACAAACGTCGAGTCAAGGGGCCAGTGGCCAAGGTGGATTTGTTGACAAAGGAAGGACAACAAACAGTGGAGCAGTGGATGACAGAAGGCAAAGTAGATTGCGTCATGTTGGCGCCTCCATGTGGTACTTCTTCAAGGGCTAGGGAGATTCCTATCCCAAGACGGATGAGGCTTAGAAGTGGCATGCAGCCTCAGCCTTTGCGCAGTGACCACTTCCCAAATGGACTTCCTTGGCTCAAAGGAGTTGCGAAGCTGAAGGTGCAGTCTGCAAATTCACTGTACCGTTTTGCAAGGAGAGTTATTGAACTGTGCATCTCCCTGCAAATACCTTTTATTTGTGAGAACCCAAAACGGTCGTTAATGTGGCTGACTGACGCCTTTGAGCATTTGCCTGAACAATGTCGTTTTCAATACATTCATGCTTGTATGTATGGGAGCAGACGCCGAAAGAGCACGGCCCTACTTTTGAACTTCACAGCTCCAAATCTGCAGTCGGAATGCGATGATTCTCATAGCCATTTGCCTTGGGGAATGGTTGACCAACAGGATGGAAAAGGCTTGAAATTTTCTACAAGCCTTGAGACTGAGTACCCACTGCAGTTATCACGTCACCTGGCAGTGGCTTTTATGGAAGCTTTGAACGCACAAGGCAAGTTCTTGACCAGTCACAATGTGCAAGAGGACCAGATCCAGCGTATTGGAGCTGGGACACAACCACGTGGTGTCAAATCGCCCATCCTCATGAGCGAGTTCAAATGCAAGGTGGACGCAACTTCCCATGATGTCGAAGTTCCCCAGCACATTGGTGACTCTGTTTCTTTTCCTTTTCAGGGCATTCCCATCAATTCGAAACTGATTGCTTCTCGAAATGTGGTCTGGAAAGGGGTGGATGGCGAGAAGCAGCAGGGCCAGAAGTCAACATTTGGCGTTTTCTTCTCCCCTCTGGAGTTTTTCAAGAGGACGCTTGAGCTGGAACACCCGCTGGACACCCCACAACTGGTGGACAGAAGTAACTTGAGAGCTATCTGTTTTATTCGTGACCATAGCATTGCGGATGTGAAACTTTTCCGCGCCAGACAACTAAAGCGCTTCACGGAGAGGGCGGCCGCTCTAGCTGGCCAAGAGAAGCATCTGAAGGACTCCCTTGATCCGGATGTGCGCAAAGTTCTGGAGAGCAAGCGCCTACTACTTTTCCAGGAGATGGCACAGGAAGCAGGCGTGGGGGATGAGACGTTATTTGATGAGCTTAAGTCTGGTTTTGGTCTTACAGGGCGCATGCCGCCGTCAAATCAATTTCCTGCTAAGCTGAAGCCTGCGACGATTTCAGTCTCCCAGTTGAAGGAGTCGTCCGTATGGGCTCGAAAGGCGATACACGCTTCCTGCAGGCGTGTTGGTAACGATCCTGAGATAGCGGCAGCAGTTTATGAGGAGACGATGAAACAGCTGGAGGACGGGTGGGTCACAGGACCTTTCACAATGGAGCAGCTTGACCAACGACATGGAGGGTGCTGGGTTCCTTCCAAACGCTTTGGGGTCAGACAAGGCCCAAGCAAGATCCGGGCTGTGGATGATTTTTCTGAATTTTTGGTCAACGCTTCAGTGACGGCAACAGAGAAGCTGCAGCTATTTGGAATTGACGAGGTGGTAAATACAGCACGAACTTTTCTGGGATGTGATGCTCTACAGGTAGATGATGACTTCAACGCCCTCAGGTGTGACCCAAACTGGGGTAGCTGCACAGGGCCTTGGCGAAATCTCAGTGGACGGGCTTTGGATTTGAAGGCAGCTTATAAACAGCTGGCTAGGAGCCCTGCTGACTCTTGGGCTTCCATTCTCGCAGTTTGGAATCCTTCTACTTCTTCTGTGGAATTCTTTGAGTCCATCTCGCTTCCCTTTGGTTCAGTATGTGCTGTGATGTCATTCAACCGCATGGCTAGGGCGCTCAAGCTCATTATGTCGGAGCTTTTCATGCTGGTCAATACAAATTTCTTTGACGATTTTTGTCAACTGGAAGTGGACGGTTTGTGCCAGTCCGCTTGGGAGACAGCCGAGATGGTCATGAAGCTTCTTGGATGGCGGATTTCAGCTTCAGATGACAAGCGCCTCCCCTTTAACAGCCAGTTCAACATGTTAGGTGCAGTGATTGATTTGTCAAGCTCTTCGCGGGGAACCATACTGGTGAAGAACAAGGAAAGCCGGATCAATGACATTAGGTCTCTGGTAGAGTCTGTGTGTGAAGCCGACTCTGTCACGGCATCTACTTTGGAAACCCTGAAGGGGAGGCTATTGTACGCGGCAGGGCACACTTTTGGCAGATGCACCCAGCTTGCCCTGCAGCTCATTGCCAGGGTAACTCACAGAGGTCCTCTCATTCTTTTGGACAACAGAGCAAAGCTGGCGCTGCGAGATGCTTTTTCTTGTTTAGCAGAATCAGGGCCCAGGTCAGTGCAAGCGTGGTCAGGCCGTCGACCCTTGGTCATTTTTACGGACGGTGCTTGCGAGGAAAACGGTGAGCTGGTGACTCATGGTGCCGTCCTTTTTGACCCGGAGTCCTCCTCCTCTTACATGTTTGGTGACAAGGTACCTATTGAATGGTTGGATCAGTGGAGGAGGGAAGGAAAACGACAGATGATTTGTCAGGCGGAGATTTTCCCCATACTGGTTGCAAAGATGACCTGGGGTTCTATAGTCAAGGGCCGTTCGATCCTGTGGTTTATTGACAACAATTCAGCGTTGGCCTCAATGATCAGGGCATACTCACCTGTGCTCGAATTACGACTTGCTCAGGTTGAACGCCAGATTGGATGTGCAGTTGCAATGCCTCAACTGGTACTCCCGTGTTCCATCAAAGTCCAATATCAGCGACGATGCGTCACGTCTTCAATTTGCTGCCCTTGAACGACTTGGCTTCCAAAGATGCAATCCCATATACGATCCTCACTAGTGTTGGTGAAATGGGGTGGAGGCGTGAGGATAAAGATCTGATCGCAAAGCTTGGGTGCTCCGACTCCCCATTATCCAAAAGAAGAATGTGAGAAAAAGCGGTATCGGTTTTTGCAGCTGAACAGTCGTTTGTTTTCAGAGTGTCAGCCACGTGAGTGCATGTCGTCGTTGATGTTTGTATATATATATATTATTGAGTTAATATATATATATATATGTCTTTAGAATTTTAATCTTAAGTTTGGATGCAATTTTGAGAAATTGTACTGTGCGTTTTTTGTAGTAAAGCGGAACGCGCAACAGGGACGCGGTGCTAGGTACGCTAGGAGGTTGAGGTGAACGGCTGTTAAATAAGTTGCGCCTCACTTTAGTGTGGAGCCTTTATTTGACTAGTTCACAGGTGGGAAGCCACCGTCCCCTTTCCTCCTACGCGTGCGTTGCGTCTCCCGCGTCCTTATGCATTCGGGTTCAGTGGTGTGCCTCTGCAACCTTACCTGAAACAACTCACAACCTGGAAAAGGTGTTTTCCGTTTTTAAACAGTTTTGGTTTTCTGTGTGCAGTCTTCCTTAACTGTTTTCGGTTGTGCTCTCTTCGCAACTTGTGTGTGCTGAAGTGGTTGTTTATTTGAAGGTCTCTGAATCCGATTCTTTTTACAACTCAAGGGTGGGTGGGTGGGAAACAAGTCTCACTGCCCAGAGGTTTGACCCGCCCGCCCTAAAAATTCCCCCTCCGGGCGTGAGGATAAAGATCTGATCGCAAAGCTTGGGTGCTCCGACTCCCCATTATCCAAAAGAAGAATGTGAGAAAATGCGGCATCGGTTTTTGCAGCTGAACAGTCGTTTGTTTTCAGAGTGTCAGCCACGTGAGTGCATGTCGTCGTTGATGTTTGTATATATATATATATTATTGAGTTTATATATATATATTTATATATATATATATCTTTAGAATTTTTAATTTTAAGTTTGGATGCAATTTTGAGAAATTGTACTGTGCGTTTTTTGTAGTAAAGCGGAACGCGCAACAGGGACGCGGTGCTAGGTATGCTAGGAGGTTGAGGTGAACGGCTGTTAAATAATGTGGAAGGTAGCGAAAACCGAACAGCGTGGCTAGGGGCTAAAAGGCCATTACAACCATCCAAGGTGGTGCAGGATGTCTCTGGGGAATATGAACCCAAGTGGCTACTATGTTTCGGAGGGGTTGAAACTACCAACCAGGAAGGTATTGAAAGGATTCCTACGTAGCACTGTTGTCGAACCCGAGTGGATGCATCAGCCGGAGAGGTCAGGCAACACCGTCGCCACCTCAGTGGCTCGACCGGGACGATCTAGCTGGGAGACGTGGTGAAGACAAGCTTCTAGAATAGAAATGATACAACAGAAAGAAAAAAAGACAAATAGATAGATGGAGACATAGATAGATAGGTAGATAGAAGGATAGAAAGCGAGAGAGAGAGAGAGAGATAGATAGATAGATAGATAGAAAGAGAGATAGATAGATAGATAGATAGATAGGTAGATAGACAGATAGATAGATAGACAGATAGATAGCTAGATAGATAGAAAGAGAGAGAGATAGAGAGATAGAGAGAGAGAGAGAGATAGATAGATAGATAGATAGATAGATAGATACATAGATAGATAGATAGATCGATAGATAGACAGATAGAGAGATAGAGACATAGAGAGAGAGAGAGATAGAGAGATAGAGAGATAGAGAAAGTAATACAGGAAGACATGGAGTATGACTAGTGATGATTACCAGTGATTATGGGATGATTCGTACTAGTGATCCCGGATCATTCCCTCATCCCCTGCGTTTAGCACCCGTAAGGAAGCTGCACTTATTTTAGGAGGCATGATAATGCAGTATAGAACCTGTGTCACTAAAAAGGATTGGAAAGTAGAATCCAGACCATATCGAATGACGTGGTCTTTTTTTTTGGTGTGTCAAGCTGCTGGTTCTTTCAAGCTCAGTGTTTGCAGTTTGCAGCGAAAAAAAGGGCCATGAGTTGTCCATATTTTTTTACGAGACAAAGATATACTGAGGAAAAAACGACTGCAACCAACCAGTCCTATGCTACCAACGTGCTGTCCTACGGTTCGACCGGCCCCAGCCCGGGCAGCTCCGTAGTTCGAAGAAGCGCTGCACCAACTGCATTTGCTCGGCGTTGTATTGTGTGCCATCCACGTATGGAAAAAAGCTTGGCTCCGTGAAATAGGTCGATAACGGCTTTGGAAATTTAAAGATACATCTTGATACATTGCAAGAAGGTTCGAAGGACGAAAACTATGCAACAATGTTGATGTTAAGCAATTGATATCGCAAGTTTGCCATCGTAGCAGACCAGCAACTATCTAGTCATCCTCGTTCGGAATGAATTGTACAGGGATTGTTTACTAACTTATAGACATTCACCACCTGATCTACCAGGTTCTTCAAAGTGACCCTTTGGAGGTGGTCAAGCGACCCTGTTAGGATGAAGAGATTTTGAATTGGTGGCTGAGAAGGTCACTATTGAAGAAGTAGGAAACAAATGGCTTATAATCTATAGTGGGATAATATGGATGAAATCTGTTCAAGTATTGTGGATATATCATCTATGAATCTACAGTGTGGGGTCCCCTAGATAGCTAAGGTAGTTTAGAATTCCAATAACCATGGTGCATGGTAGGTAGAACTATAGTGAACGGGGTTGAAGTCCACGAACTTTGCTAGCTAGGGGGGTCCCACATTGTGAGACTAGAACGTCCAGTACAATAAGTGTAGATAAAAAAATAAATTAGAGATCTACTACTGTTATTATCTGCATAAGTCTATAAACCCATAGGATCCATGTATGGGATAGATTATAGGCATATATATGCTAACATTTCGGGTATATTGATGGTAAATGTTTACATGTCTGGCAGACATGGATCCTAGGGGAAAGAACTTAACATCCCACCACTCCACCGCGCCGTGGGGGTTCCCACGTTGCTCGCCGTGGCACGTTGTCTCGGTTCCGCTGAGGCCGTGGGGTCTGGCGCGAACGAAAATTAAAGACAAGGATTTCAAATCGATAGTCATAAATCTTGCTGTATAAATGACTAAATAATTGTGGTTTCCCGAATATTTCGAGGTATCGACCCCCCAGTCATCAGCCATTTCCCTGGGAATTTCCATGGGATTTCATCGATTTCCACGGGATTTCCGTGGGATTGCAACCATTTTAAGAGGCCCAGGATCGCCTTGTCGGACTGTTCAACCACTGGGTCAGCCACTGAGCCAGAGCGCCAGGCTGGCGCAAACTTCCGCGGGATGTAGGCAGCTCTAAAGGCCTTTGAAGGTTCTGATCTTGTCTGATCTGGTTGATATGTGTTTATCTATGTCTATCGATATTTTCATGTTATCTTGATGTTGATAGCTCTTCCATGCAAGTTGGTTCCAACTCTCAGGTCGGGCGACCTTCAGAATGGGGTCACAATTCAAGGTCCCACCGCACAAAGATGGAGCGTTTTTTTTACCCAAGCACTATCAAGCAGCAAAGTGTCTAATGGTTTCGACTAATTATGACACACACATATATATATATATATCTATATATAAGTCTAGAAGTCTATAAGTTTATAATTGTCGGATGTTGACTGATTGTCGGATGCAGACATCAATATATTTAACTGGGGTGCCCTCAGATTGACCATTGAAGGATATTAAAGGGAGATGTTCAAAATGACCTCATACCTAAGTCATGCCTGGAACAACTGGATCAAAATAAGTCGAAACGAGTCGAAAACGGTTTTGTCAATGATCGACGAACTAACATTGGAACGATATTCACTGCTCAGCCTGGGGGGCGGCCACTGCTGCCAGCCAGACGGGGAGATAGTCAAAGCAAGGCCATAGGTACAAGGTAGAAAGGCATGCAATGTACGTGGAAAAAGGTCTCATAAGCGACATATTGTTTGGATGTCGGAGACGGAGCCTAGACAATAACTCGGGAATGTTCTTGTCAGAATGAAGGCCGCAGAAGAATATGATCAGATAAATGCTATATCGCGATGTCGTGGGAATGTGGAAAGGAGGTTAATATCACTTCTTTTTTTCCTAGGGTGTCGGGGATGCAACGGATTTATCACATTGGAAAGCAGTGGTTTGTTTAACGTCCCAAATGCTCAAGCACTGCTGATGGTCACACTTTCCTGGAACTTCGAGCCACTATTTCACGTGCGTCAACTCACCGGCAAAGTCTTGATAATGCTCCTTCATGCCATGACTATCTGCATCCAATGATGATAAATTTCCAGCGTAGCTGACAGTGATATATTGCTCGAAAGTCCCTTGTCCAGGCATGCCAAGGAATGTGACAAAAACACTGTTCATTTTCTTCCCATTGTGCGGCCTTGCTGCGCCACAACAGAGCCGCAATTGCAAGAGGACTCTGTCGAAGCGAAGCAACATACTGCACGGAGCTGGTGGGAGATAGCTTCGACCAACGAGCCAAGCTCTCAGAGCTACCACAAGTACGTGGCACTCCAGCACTTATGTCCGAAGGAGACTGGTGCTGAAACGTCCAACCTTCGAGATGTACTTCGCGGGGACCGTTCCATTGATCCCGGGCGATAGGATCACCTCGTTGCCACTCTGGAAGAAGGGCACGCCCTCCTGACAAGTCAGAGATATCGGTTGAAACTCGGGGGTTTGAGCCTAGCCACTTGTGTGTGTCTGTTTAGGTATACAGAACAGTACAAGCAAGAACTGCCGGGACTGTACCCTGGCTGGATCATGAGTTTCACCCGTGCAACGCACCCGAATGGCCGTAGGTAAATCGATGTAGATCGCCACCTGTCGTCGACCGGGGGCTTACAATCACAGGATCCCCCAGGGAATGAACGGAGCTGGTGTATCAATAAACCATCCTTCCCTTTAGCTACCTCGCAAGCATTCAATTTGAGTCCCTCCTTTTAGCTCAGGCAGTCAGGAAACAGATGTCTTCGAATTTCGAGCAGACTTGGTTTTCAGTCTTTTTCTTTCGTGCAAAAAATCGTGCTTTTTGGTGGCCGCCTGCGTGCCAACAATCGTGCTTTGTGGTGGCTTCCTTCGTGCCAAAAATGCTGGTCTAGATCGTGCTTTGTGGTGGCCTCCTGCGCGCAAAAAATCGTGCTTTTTTTGGTGGCCTCCTTCGTGCAAAAAATGGTGGTGTAGAGCGTGCTTTGTGGTAGCTTCCTTCGTGCAAAAAATCGTGCTTTTTGGTGGCTTCCTTCGTGCAAAAAATGGTGGTCTAGATCGTGCTTTTTGGTGGCCTCCTTTGTGCCAAAAATCGTCCTTTTCGGTGGCCTTGTTCACGCACAAAAATTGTGCTTTTTGGTGGCCTCCTTCGTGTAAAAAATGGTGGTCTAGATCGTGCTTTTTAGTGGCCTCCTGCGTGCAAAGGAGCGTGCTTTTTGGTGGCCTCATGCGTGCAAAAAATGGTGGTCTAGATCGTGCTTTTTGGTAGCCTCATGCGTGCCAAAAATAGAGCCCCGGATCGTGGTCACTGTGACAGGGAAAACGAAAATCACAACATGGAATAACCAACAGGAAATGACCGAGCGCACCTCGCAGTTGGAACCTCGGCATGCGACTATCGGGCACCCCCTTTCATCCATTGGTTTATCATCTTCATCCGTCGGCCACTGAAAAATCTGCAAATGGCAACATGTGAGGTCATGCGGGGTCCCATATTCGGATTACCCCCTTACCACGGCCAAAAGCAATAGATGAGTATGAATTTATCTGACAATCAGGTCGCATGAAGCTGATTCCGAAATCCATACTAAATGCAATGTAACGACTCGATGGAAACCCTTGTCAATGAGAAGAACACGAATAAATATCCAAAAATGAGCCACGAAATCAAGCTTTACCATGAAAAACCCCTATTGGAATCACCAATAAAATCAACAACATGAAAGCATTGATGAACTTCGAAGCTCTAACTCCAGATTGACGCGTCGGTTCCCAGAAAGAAATCTCACATCCCTATGTCCGCCCCAAATAAGCAGAGACCGAGAAGCGCATCCCGGAGAGCACGCGCCCATCGTGCGGCTCGTAGGGCGCGAAGTGCACGTGGTTGCGCCCACCCACCCGAAGACCATTCCTGGGCCATCATGCCAATGAGGTTGCCCAAAAATTGAGGACTTAAACTTCAACAATGAGGTTTGAAGTATTGCATGTTTGGCTACATGTGTATGTATATGCATATGTATATGCACTTGTGTTTATAGATGTCCTTCAGTCTTTATGTATATGTATGTATATGTATATATATATGCATATGCATGTACATGTTTATGCCTGCGGACCGAAAACCGTTCCCGTAAAACGCACGTTTTTGAATATCGCGATTGTGGGGTGGGGTGGGGGGGCATGGTAACGTTCCTTGTACTTCGTACATGATATATTGCCATGCTGCTGAGATCTCTGGGATCGTTTACTACGTTACATGTTGCTACGCTGCTGCTCGGGTGGGGTGGGGTGGGGGGGCATGTTAACGTTCCTTGTACTTCGTACATGAAATATTGCTACACTGCAGAGATCTCCGGGATCGTTTACTACGTTACATGTTGCTACGCTGCTGAAAGTGGAATCTGATGAAAAAGTCAATTCCCAGCAACGTGAGTGCCAAAAGTGACCTCTTGATGGTGTATGCGAGAGCTTGGCAATGGAGATGCATTCACAAGAATGCTGACTGCCAGCTGATAACGGTGCATGCGTTGCAGCGATGACGCTGAAAAGCCAAAAAGCACGCCCCAAGTTTTTCCAGGATTGCCAATCATCAAATCAGCACGGCACTGTGGTAAATTCACCATTGTTCAAAAAAACGTGCGTTTTATGGGAACGGTTTGTATATGTATGTCTATATCTAGATGTATATGTATAGGTGTAGGTATATGTATATGCATACGTATATGTATATATGTATATATTGTGTATATGTTTGGATCTATATACATATCAATATACCATCAATGGCATTTTTGTAGCAAATGCCTCTGATCCAGATCCACTGTCGTCCCGGCCTCTGAATCGAAGCCACGTGGCGCTTGTAAGTGCCATGCACACAGACCTGCGCATTCCAAGCTGAAAAAAATGAATGTCACTCGTAGGATGCTATGTCTGAGTAACGACAATTGAAAAAAACATTCCATGTGCTATGCAAATTCCAAGCTTCTATTAAACGCAATTCCATGACTTTTTGCACATACCTCCATATAATATAGAATGACACCAGATCATGGCATCTTGTCAGTGGACTCTGCCATCGACTGGATTCAACCGGCACCTTGGGAAGATTGGGGTCCTCGGCATTCAAGCGCTTCAAAAGGCTGTCGTCATCCACGGCCTGGCGCGATTGCAGAAGTGCCGACCCATGGAAAGGAATTTTATACCAACGCGACGTTGGAGGATACCATGGCAATGGGCCCTTCCCGGAAAGCCTTCATGGAGTGTCCGTTGACCGCTCGGATCAATACCTGCCACAGCCGTTGTCTCAGTCCAACTGGCAAGAGCAAAGGCAACCTTTGGTTCTGATATTCTCAAAGAAAAAGAGAAGATTTCAAACACCTCTCAGTCCATCAATGGCTTGCTCTGTCTGATTCACAACAGCCAATCTACACGACACGACATGACACGACATTACACGACACTGCACCGCACAATGCGACAGCGAGAACGACAATGACACAACTACACAACTACACGCCACTACACTTTCGACAGTGCACGACACTCCACGACACGAAATCACACGACACGCCACTGCACTACACTGCACTACACTACACTACCTTCGACTACAGTTCACTCCATAGATAACAGTACACTCCATGACAACTACACAACTAGACTCCACGACACTCCACAACACTCCACTACACTAAAGTACACTACATGACACGACATTACACTACTGACACGCCTCTACACTACATTGCAGGACACGAAACGACACTACATGCCACTACACTTCACTACACTACACTGCACTCCACTACAACTACAACTACACTACCTCTCACTAAACTTTACTATATGAACGTACTCGACACCCCACGACAACTACAACGACACAACTATACTCCGCTACGGCCACGACACTAAAGCACACTGCACGACACCACATGACACCACACTACCTTCCACTACACTTCACTCCATTACAATATAATATACTCCACTACAACTACACAACTACACTCCACTACAGGCCACGACACTCCACGACACAAAAGTACAGGACACTACGCTACATTACACGACATGACACGGCACGACACTACACTGCATGACACGACACTACACTACATTCCACTACAGGTCACTACACTACACGTCACTCCACTACAACTACAAATACACGACGACCCAGTAAACTTCACAATATGAAACGACTCTGCACCCCACGACAAGTACAACTACACAACTATACGCCGCTGTAGGAAAATACACTACACGACACTATACTCCGCTACACGAACTTACACTACACTTCGCATGACACTACGCTACACCACATGACACTACCCTACATTACACTGAATAACGCAGCAATACCGATAGACAGGTAGACAGATAGATAGATAGACAGAGAAGCAGCGAGACAGCTAGAAGATGAAGGGGAGAGAGAGAGAGAACCGTGGCCAACGGAGACAATCTTGCCACACCAGATACAATTGGGATTGTAGCTGCCTTGTCGGCTTCTATCTTCATCTCAAGGCGTTTCTTACTGTCGCATTGCACCGCCACCTGCGTCGGCCATTGGATCGACACGCTTCAGTTGGCCAGGATTGGTCACTCTGAGTTAACCTGTTTACCCCGAGTGAGATGCTACATTCCACTATAGATGTACGTGGATATCCCCACGAAGGAAAAAGAAATAAAACTGCAAATGACTACTTCCCCATCGGCGGACGGGGGGAACTTGCCTGGACGTCTTCCACTGTCGCAGCCATGGTGGTGAATTCATCCAGCGCCAAAATGTCCTTCCAGGCGGCGCAGAAACGCGGCAAAATGTTGGAGTGTCCATGTGTACATACAAACAATCATCGTACAGGTACTGTTTCAACCTCACTAAACCTTTTCCCGGTGTCGGGGCATCTTGCCCCAGATGTCGACCCCTCGAAAGCTTGACTACGTCCTGCAGCTGGCAGAAGCCATCACCCCGGATCTGAAGTCCCAAGCTTTGCGCCGTGTGGCGCAAGATTCGCCCCAGGGCCTGGCTGTTCAGTTCTTTCTGTCGGAAAAACATGGAAATGCCATGGCAAATGATGGGCTTTCATCGTGAGTTGCCATATCCAATACTTATTTTGAATGGATGCGCGCTGTTGCAGCACGCGGAGGGCGACAGCTTAGAATCAGAAACCTAGAATGAGAAACCCTAAACACAACGGATGAGTCATCTCAGAAGATTATCAGAATCCACGCTATAGAATCTAGATACGTTTGCTCCATTCTTTCCTGCGCCACAAGGGAATTTGTGATCAGGCTGCGTTGAAACACTGCAACCTCACCAGAGAATCTCCTTTGCAAAAAAGCAAAACACAGCCAACCAACGCAGTTCCCCCTGAATCTGCCGGATCATATCTTTGCTTGAATCTTGTTCACCGAGTGATCCATGAATGGATGAACATGAGACCATATTTTCAGCAAGCAGACTAAACGGTGCCCAATTTCCGATTCCTTCAACCTGGTCCCTGCTTTCTTGCCTTGGAAATGTGAATGCTGCGGCAGGTGTTGCTCTGGCCACCACGAGGAACAGCTGCGGTACTGAAAACTGTGATGGGGCGTGCCTCTCGCGCACGTGCCGCTAGTGTCCAAGCACAAAGCCGGCATGTCATGCGCTTTTGTTGTTTACGTTGCCTTTTCACCGGAATGATGCTCTATGCAAACGCACATGTGACATGCTTACGTGAAGATATCAACTATTTGATCCTGAACGTAAACATACGAATAGCCGGCACGTCGTACCTGGACAGTCAAAGAAAGATCCCCCGTGGTACCGCTCAAAAGGGTCTAGTCCTGGAAAAAAACGCCTTAAATCGTTTGGTCCACAACCTTTTGGAATTGATGTCCAAAGGGTACAACCCAACAGATTTAAGCCAACAACCAAGTTGCAATTTCCCGGGCAAACAAATTAAAATCTTGTTCCACAACCTTTATGTGGACTAACATGTCTCCTGGCCCACCATTGCGCTGACACAACTCTTTTCCTGGGTCATAACCTTTATGATGAGACATGTGTACCTACCCCATTCAGATCGTCAAGTCGATTGAATTGGAAGATCACGACCTTTCAAAAACTGCTGAGGGTTTGGTATACACTTTTCTTGTCATATAATTCAAATCCTGGGTCACAGGGTTTCCACCGGCTCCATCATTTTTTTGGTCGCATGCTGTCAAGATCTTTCAAGACGGGGAGATGGATGACACTAGGCTTTGGAGGTCCAGAACTGTTTTTTTCTCTCTCTCTCTCTCTGTGTTGGAAATGACCAGAAATGATGTGTGTCTCTACATGATTGTTGATCCCTGTCGGTACAAAAACGTGGGGTACAGTCCTAGAAAAAAATCGGTCTAAAATGATGACCCCTAACCTTTGAGAGAGGTTTTAGAGCTTGAAATTCCTGGCTCCTAACCTCTGAAGCCGAAATCTCACTGCCAACCACCTTTTTGAATTTTCTTTGCGAATTCCGTGGTGCCCAACGTCCAACATCCAATAAATCTACCCCTCTCATATCCAAGTAAAAAAAATATTTTCTGAATGCTTGCGTTGGTAACATGCCATATCTTCCCCCCCTCAATCTGATACGGAAAAAAATGAATTCCTGGCACCTGACTTCCCGGCTGACAGCTCGCAGTTTTTCAGAAGCTATCGGATGCAACCTTTTTACAAACCACTGAAATGCATGAAAAAGTATGATCACAACCTTTATGTAGATCCTACCCTCTCCTGTTCGACAGATTGGCCCAGAGATTTTTTTCCTGTACCCCAACCTTGTTTGGAAAACCATGCAATCCTGGCAAGCAAATCTTCGAAACATATAAAATCCTGTGGTACAACCTTATGTTACTAATCCTGCTTTCCAGGCCCCAACATTTGTTTTCCGGAACCCCAACCTTGCGACATCCATTTTTTTGATGATTTTTACCTGACTTGGCATTTTTATTCGCCGAAGTGGAGTCACAGGAAAAAAATTGACCAGTACAACGGGGGATAAGAAAGCATGACAAAGGAAACACCCGAATGAAGAATTGCAGCCTTGCGATGGTCTGCGATACCTCTTCAATGTGAGATGTGCAAGTACAGATGCAAAGACTGCCTGCTCAGCATCTTCTTCAGCTGACAGCGGAAGATCTGCTGCAGCTACGAAACGACTGCCTGCCAGCGAAACAAAACATCGGCATTCCGCAACACGCGGGGAATGGACAGGATAAGAAAGCAACTGCGCAACATTCGTGCGTTTGTTCTTGCATCTTGCTTTGATCACAAAATATGTGTCGGTGACATCACTTACTACTCATGCGGGTGCTTGGAAGAAGTTTCGAGCTGCTCCAAATCACACGCTAAACTTGCTTGCAGCTGTTGTCCACAACAATATGAACACTATGATTGCAGTCGTCTAGACATCCCACGTCCAGTCAGGTCAGTGTTGGAAAAGAAACTCTCTGCAAACAAGGAAGGCACAAAACGGCACAGCCTCTTCGCCTTGCGCTAGGACACGTCTGAAAACGCGAAGCTTCGTGCACGTCCTCCCCATGTCTGTCACATGACTGGGAAATGTCAAAACAATTCACAACACGCACCATGTGCTCTAAGTGAATGGAAACGTGACGTCTCCAGGTCACCTGGCCAAAACCGGCATGTCGGCATGAGATTGCGCGTTGTGCCTGCAAGTGCATCACACCCAAGGCAACCAAATAGAATCTCAAGAGCACAAATCGGCATCAGCAAATTGATGTGTCTCTACAGAAACGGAGCTTCAAGTGACATCAAAGCAAAAAAACAGGCTGGCCCGCCTCATCAGCTTCCTCATCTAAATGCAGCCAGTCATCTGAAGATACCGAGCCCATGCCTGCCAAGCGCTGTCTGGAAACATGGTTGATGCAAAGCCGGCATAATGTGAGCAGAGCTCTGGTTGAACACTCTTAAGCTGCTCGCGCAGACTCAACTTGCTTGGGGCTGGGATCCACAACAAAACACACATTATGAGTGCAGTCCTCTAGGCATCCAATGTCCATTCAAGTCAGTGTTGCAAAAGACACTCCCTTCAGACAAGGACGGTAGAGAACTGTACGGCCTCTTCGCGTTGCGCAAGGACGCTTCTGAAGAGGCGATGCTTCATGCATGTCCTCGCCGTGTCTATCACGTGGCTGGGAAATGTCAAAACAAGTCACAACACACACCAGATGCTCCAAGTGAATGGAAACATGACTTCTCCACGTCGCCTCGACAAAACCGACACCTCGGCATGAGGTTGCACGTTGTGCCTGCAAGTGCATCACACCCCAGGCAGCCAAATAAAATCTAGCGACCGCAATACCAGGAAATTGCATCAGCGAATGGATATGTACCTACAAAAAAGGAGCTTCACATGGTATGAAAACAACAAAACAGGCTGGCCCGCCTCATCATCTGTCTCATTTGCATGCGGCCAGTCATCTGTTGATACAAAGCCCATACCTGCCACGGACTGTCTGGAAACATCTTTGATCCAGACCCGGCATTATGTGAGCAACTCCCTGGTTGAACAATCCTGCGCTTCATGAACAGACTAACTTCACAGGACGCACTGCAGCCAAACACTGCCTCATCAACAGCATCATTCGTCCCACGTCACGCGTTACGAGCCTTGCCTTTTCGCGCTGCGCCGTGGCTGCTCTGAGAAGGTGAAGGTTCCGGCACATCCTGTCCATCACATCTTTCTCACTAGAAGCAACGTCCATGCAACACAGCTGATCAGTGAGTATCTGAACAGCCATCGAAACACCAACGTTGCGGAACACCTGAAAGGGCACAATATGTCCAGGTCCAAAAATGTCTGAAACGCAAAGCGTTCCTTGAAGACCGTCCTGGCCAGCTACTGTGGGCCCAATCGAACAAGAGACAAACACTAGAAATGAAACACACACAGACAAACATATAGGAGGAACCAGCCCAATGACAAGGCGCTCCCCTCCCTGTGGCCTTCCGCAACAAGTGCGGAGCGACCGTGGGAGCAGGGCGCTTGATCCCAGCCGGCCATGAAGGCGCTGCGCTCATTGCCAGCTACGCCCCGAAGTGCAGGTTGCTGGAAACCCAACTGGACATTTATCCGAAATGAACATTCCCACGTTACGTGGCAAATTCAACACACGCCAGTTGACCAATGTCAAACAGGCAGTCAAATGAAGAACCCAGCGCGTCTGAGAAAAAACTAGAAGTTTTTCAAACATTTGTGCAAGAGTTACGCGTCGCCCTTGAGCCCAAATGGGATATCATAGTCATCATGTTCTTGTTGTTCTTGTTGTTCTTGTTCTTGTTGTTCTTGTTGTTCTTGTTGTTATTCTTGTTCTTCTTGTTCTTCTTGTTCTTTTTGTTCCTGTTCTTGTTCTTGTCGTTGTTCTTGTCGTTGTTGTGGTTGTTGTTGTTGTCGCTGTTGTCGTTGCTCTTGTTGCTCTTGTTGTTCTGGCTCTTGTTCTTGTCATTGTCGTTGTTGTTCTTGTTGTTGTTCTTGTTCTTGTTGTTCTTGTCGTTCTTGTTGTTGTTGTTGTCGTTGTGTCGTTGTTCTTGTTGCTCTTTTTGTTCTTGCTCTTGTTCTTGTCATTGTCGTTGTTGTTCTTGTTCTTGTTCTTGTTGTTGTTGTTGTCGTTGTGTCGTTGTTCTTGTTGCTCTTGTTGTTCTTGCTCTTGTTCTTGTCATTGTCGTTGTTGTTCTTGTTCTTGTTCTTGTTCTTGTTGTTGTTGTTGTTGTTGTTGTGGTTGTTGTTGTTGTTGTTGTCGTCGTCGTTGTTGTTGCTGTTGTTGTTGTTGTTGTTATTGTTGTAATTACACTGTTTTGAGTCTGCTCTTAGGGTGCGTGGGGGGGAGGGGGGAGTGGGGGGGGGTACTAAAATGACTAGCAATCTCCTGAAGAATCAGGTAACGGGGCTGGCCGCCCTCCCCTTTACTTCGTAAAGTAAAACTCAAGGTAGCCCCTCTGGAGCTACCTTTCGTGATAAATCCTGCAAAAAAAATAGTTTTTTTTTTGTAAGCGAAGGATTTCATGCCATGGTG